CTCGGTGAAGGCATCGTAAGAGCCAATCATCGGCAAGCCTTTGACCAAGGCTCCGGCGGCTTGCAAACAAAGCACGGCTGAGCGATGTACTGAAATTGTGGAGCTGCTCCGGTCGGGGGCGCGCGATCTTCCGTCGGAACAAGGAGCGCGGATCTGCAGAAGCCTCACCCCAGACAGGGTCCATGATGGCCGTGTCCGGCGAAGGCCTGAGAACGAAGCCAGCCACATGCGCGCGCCTTGCGCGCATGCAAGCCGCGCCATCTCTGCGACTCTCTGCGCTAAGGCTGCAGCATGTGTCTGGCAGTGGCTGGCTCAAACACCTCGGGCCATCCCGGAACACGCTGAAGCTGATAATATATGTCGTCCCCGATTCTGGATGGCTCAATGCCTGCTCCCATGTTGGGGCTGCATTTTCACAAGGGGAAGGAGCTTGGAAGGGATTCGTTCACACTCCACTCAAGGCGCCACTGACGCGCCTTCTTGATGCCTGCAATCATTTCCGACTCGTCCAGGTCTCCCACAACCTTGGCCAAACATGCCCCACTGCAGCTCTCGCAGCGCTTGAGCTTCTGGCATAGAGGGTGGCGTTGCCTGGATAGTACCACTTCTTGTGAAAGTTAATGAGGTCCTGGAAGCCATGGCTCGTTCTCAAGCTCTGGATAGCCCCGCGAACGCCGGAGCTGATCCGGAAAGCGTGCACCTTACGTGCCCTCAAGAGTTGTCTCCTTCTGCTGCCAGGCTTTGATTTGCTCCTCCTTGCCGATGGGGAACTGCCTTGAGAACGCGAGCAGGTACACTGCGCAAGGATTTGGCTGTGGGCCAATAATAGGTACCCCAAATGGGTTCCCCCTCTGAATGGAAACCCGAACCAAAACCTGCAGTCCTTTGGGGGCTTCAAGTTGACCCATGCCCATTTATGCTTGGGCCAGCACGAGCCCAGCTTGTTGGTCTCGTGCAGGCCCGACAGCGTCCAGGTCTCGATGCGGTATTCCATGTCCTCGGCCGCGCGGTCGCTTCACGCGGAGGGTGAGGAAAACTGAACCTCAAAGAACGAGCTGTGACTCTGTGACTAGCTCCATTTGGAGTTGTCTGCTTTTGAGGGTACCATGCTTGCTGGTTTTCAAAGGGAAACCAAAAGAAAACCACCATTTTGGGGGTTCCCCTAAAATCCCAAAAAGAGACGCGCCCATTCCTGCTCGACTCCCCCTCAGGTCTCCACATTCACCTGCTGCATCTCCGCGAGGACCGCCTTGCGCTCCTTCTCGATGCGGTGCGGCAGCATCTCTGGGGCGAAGGCGATCTCGTGGAGGGCCTCTCTCCGCTCCCAGCGCGCCGGCATCCGAGCGAGTTGGGTGTGGGTCAGAACCAAGCCAGGAATTGGACCGCAGGAATTTTAGCCCATGCTTCCATTTACCAGGGCTAAGCAGGAACCGATTTTTGACCCACACCCAATTTTTAGTCCATGGGCCTCCAGGGATGGAATGTACATGCCGCGACCGTCTTCCAACTGCACGGGAGCGTGGATATGATAGATGGTGTGCCTCGGGAAGACACTTGCGCCCCGCCATACATCCGTTGCAGTCTTATCCCTGTCTCTGCCCGTCCCACTTCGCAGGGTGCACCAAAACACAGAGCCTTTACCCCAGCTTCAGAACGCGGTTGAGACATTGAGACAAGCTTGGTTTGGCGTGGTGAAGCTTAGGTGCTGGAAGTCTGTCAGCGCATTGGAGCGAGAACCGGTACCAATCAGCCTCTCGCCTGCATGGCCCAGGTTGCACACACATGTTCAGCGACTTCACCGCACAAAAATCACACTTAGCATCGACTTGCTTAAGCGTCCGGCGTTTGCGGCTGCCCAGAAAGCAAACATGCTCCATCATGTGAGCAATGCCCTGCTCGTCTGGGTCCTGCCACATCCCACGAAATGCAGAAGCAACTCTAAATCCCAACATCGCTCCTCGTCAATGCTGCCGACGTGCAACTCGATGTGGGCCTTCCGAACAGCTAAATTGCAGGCTCGCTATTTAAAAAAAGAGTGCAGCGCCAGACACTTTTCGACACAGACCCCCTGCCTCAAAGCGCTTTGGAGGCATCGCGTTGCGCAAGACCACATAGCCTGAAGCCAAACCGAGATTTGAGGCGCGTCGGCCATGCTCGCGAGAGCTCGCATCAGCCAGAGCCAAGGCCGGCGCGCAGCCCGTTGGGCAGCACTCCGCGGCCTGCCGAGCGCGCTGAGCCGAGCGAGCAGCAAACTGCTCGGCTAAGTACAAGAGCACAAGCCAGTGGCACGCACTCCGGGATGGAGCGGAAGCGGCTTCCTTTGCGGACAGGCGCTCAATTTGTCCAATTGGTACTTGCCGAATCCCACTCTCAGACCCAGGCTTCTCCAACTCAGGCGGACCCTCTGGCCAATTGATGAGACATCGCCTGGGCTTGGCATTGGCCTTCTTTTCAAGCGACCAACAGGCAAAAGCAACCAAAGCAGCCAATGCAGTCAACGCAGGAACGTTTGCAAATCCGAGGTCTGCCAAGCTGCTGAGAGGCATTCCAGTGGCTCTTCCAGTGGAGGAAACTCAGGTCTTTGACCTGCAAAGACGGCTTCCCCGTCTCCGAACAAAGAAAAGCCCATCCACACCTCCTCCGGCAGAGTGGACTGCGCTGCAACCACCGGCTGCACCACTTCTTCTGCCTGGCTCTCTACATCCTGGCAGCTGCAAAGCCAAATTTTCCGGGCAACAAAAACAAAAGCCGCCAAGCCGAGGGTCCTGCAAGCCTGATGGTTGATTGGCAACCTGCGCGGGACGAGGTTCGAATGCTAAACCGCGCTCCATCTGATTCCCGTGGCGCATATCTCCAAGGAAAGTATCGCAGCAGAAGGATTGCCAGAAGTCCCGTCCCCAAAGGCTTGTGAGGTCTGCATTTCTGGCTCTAAACCTAGTGCTTTGAGAGTGTCGGGTTTCTTGCTGAAACAAAATTGTATTTTGCAGGGGGGATGGGTTGCCTCGACAGGGTTTGCCCATGCGCTGATTCAGTGGCTCGTATGTGGGCCATTTTGGGCTTACCCCCCTTGTCAATAAATCGATCCCGAGTATTATTTTCAGGCGAAAAATCCAAAACCAAACTTCTCCCCTGTTTCTATTTCACCCAATACTAAACAAACACCAAGCTCCTCTTTTCATTGTAGATTCAAGTTGCAGATTACATTGTTTTCTCCCCGTATTAACATGCTTGTTTCAGAAACAGACATAGTCATTTATTGGTGAGGAAGGGGGGAGAGCCGGGATCAGTGACTCCTGCCAATCTCAGTGCCCGGAAAGCCCACCCCAGACCTAAACATGCCGCTAATTCAAAGCGGTGTGGTTTTGCTTTGGAGGCTCAGCACGGTACCCGTTGCATCTCCAGCATCGCAACTTCAAATGTCAGATGCTGGTGCTGCTGGGCTGTTGATGTTCATTCGCTGCCGACACGGAGCACCGGCGATGGGCCAAGCAAGCTCAGCACAAATAAAATCAGCACTCCGTTTCTGCAACAGCGCCCATGCTACTTCTCACGCATTCCAAGAAAATCAGTTCCATCACGCATGCCTCCGGTACCGAGTCGGCAACCTGCTGCCCTGGAGCAAGCCTCTCGCAAGGACCGCTATCCAAGCATATCTGCGACGCACAAACACTCCGAGCACCCTGCAGCTTCAAGGTGGTGTCTGGCACCCAGTCCGAGCCATCCTGATCTCTCTCCCCTTGCGACCAAAAGCCCCGTATCCTGGTCTTGTTTTGGCCGCTTCAGCGGATTTCCTGCGGCCTTCTTGAAATGGATTTCCTTCGGTATAACTCAACCCGAGTGTTGCCATCGATCCGAGGCTCTCAGCCCAATTCCCTCGTGCTCTCACTCTTCCGCACGCGCAAGCGGGCGCGCGCTGCTCAGCTGGGAGTGCGGGCCCAGATGCTAAAGGTGCCCGCGATGGCCGTGGGCTCCGTGGCGGCGTCCGCTACGAAGGCCCAGCCGTCTGGGCGTCCATCCGCATGAGGCGTGAAGGCCTCGCAGCCGGGGCCGAAGGCCGCGAGACCGAAGGCGAGGCCACGAGGCCAAAGGCGCTGAGGTCACGGCCCACTGCTTGGCTTCGTTGTACAACAAGTACACGGCCTGCGAGGACAAAAGACAGAAGCCGTGTCTGCACGTCTGCTTGGACTCACCTGGCTGTTGGCTGGAAGGCCGAGCTTTCTGTAAACTGCCCTGTCGTGGACTTTCTGCGCTTGTTCCTGGCAGCTTTATGACATTGCCTCCGACAAAGCCGCGCAACGCGTCGTTCCTGATACTCGCCGCAGAACGGCTGCCCTATCCTGATCATGCTGCTGCTCGCGGTCAAGTCATGTGGAAACAGCCGAACTGGGAGCTGGACGACATATTCGAGCTGACACGGATTTTTGCCTGGAAAAGGTAAAGGTGAATGCCGAACTTGTGTTCCCTCCACAATTGGAACCGGCAATCGCTGAGTCCCCTGGCGCTCGGATTGTTCTCTGCACCTTTACAGCACTTTGGACTAGGCACCTCTCTTGTGACGTCAGGCGATCCAATCAGAGATGCCCCTGCCCCGAATATCCCCAATCAATCAAACGGGGCCTCCTTCGCCGAGGTTCTTGGCGAAGAAATCCTGGCGGAGGTCCCAAAAACGAACAACGAGCCTTGAAGACCCGAGTTTTGGCGCGTCGTCCATGAAGGTCCTTGATGTTCCCCAAGAGACCGGCCGGTCGTGTCACCCGCCGCTTCTGCCCTCACGGATGGCTCAGCTTCGCATGGAAACATACTGTGGATGGACGAAATCCTGCACTACTCCGAAACCATGCAAACCATTGCTTGTCAGGGGAATCATCCTTCCAGGGTTTCCTTGGTGGTGCAGGATTTTGTCCATCCACACACATTGATTTGCAGGAGTCTTCTACCACACCCTGAAGGAGTATTCTAGAGCCCTTTGAAGGTCTCTTTCGAGAACAACTGAGTCCCATGCGAATGCGCTCGCCACGGCTCGCTTTCCGCGCAGTGGCCTAGCCCGGCAGGAATCGATGCTCGATCTACAGCTTCGATCCAATAGGCAAGTTCTCTAGTCGCAGCCCGCACCAAGGTTCAGACACGGGCGGCCACACAGGCACAAGCCAGGAGTGTGGACCCATGAGCAGCTACCTCATGGACTCAGCACGCTGGCCGCGCGCAAAGCTGTCACCAGGCTGCAGGCTGCTCGAACCGGCGAGACCTTGGAGAAGCCTGGCAGACCAAAAAGCTCAGGGGAGTGGGGAAAAAAGCGGACTCAAGCGGGCGCCTGCTTGAGGCTTCTGAAGGCTTTCACCTGGCGAAATCTGGAAGAAACGTCCCATGGATCTGCAGGCAATGGGGCGGAATCCTGCCGTTTCTTTGAGGCGACCAACTTGGGGTGTAAAACGAGAAAAGCAGCAACCATCTTGAGGGGACCCGTCGGACCCGCCCCTCCCCCGAATTCTCGCCTCTCGGAGGGCTGTGGGAGGGCCACTTCGGGACCCCGGAGGGTTGCAGCGCCATCCGACCTCGGGCACTCCGATTGGCTCCCTCTGAAGCTGGTCGGACGCCAGCTCAACGGCTCCCTCCCAGCCAGCTTGAAAAACAACCAAGAGATGTTCCAACCACCAGACGGCAAAAGATGTTGTGGCGCAGATCTACCACAAAAACAAGAAACCTCGAGACTTTGCGGCACATCCGAGCCCAGGATTCAAGCAATACCTGCATAGCCACTCAGGGAGGCACTGAGACCAGCTGGCATCGATCTACGTCTTGGGCCAAAGCTGCAAGCCAGACTTGTCGCCCTGTCCGCCTGCCCATGTCCGCCTGCCCATGTCCGCCCTTATCCCTCTGTTGGTGGGCACCGCTGCACCATCGACTTTCTCAGCACAAGCGAATAGCTGGGCGAAAATTTCTATTCTCCACGCTAAAGTTGGGGCGGCTTGCCCAATTGCGAGCTTCCAAGAAGCTGGCGATAAAACAGACATGAAGCACCGGGCATGCCGCGGGCGCTCTAGCTCGCAGACCTACATCTGCATTTTGGACACGATCTCCGCGGCATCCTTCGAGAGGCCAGCCTGGCGGCACACGTGTCTTGAGCTTTTGACAAGACTCGACGCCACGAAATCCAACTCTTCGCCCGGACTTAGACACTGGCCCTAGGAAGCACCCGGGTGGATTTACAACTGGGGACATGTCTGAGCCAGTCACAATAGGTGCTCCCTTTCAAACCCTGCTCTTGACCTGGGCCACACCTGAGTTTAGGGCCTGGTATCCCAATTCTGCGGGTGAACTCGTCACAATGGATATATGTACTAGACCCACCAAACTAAGACACCGCAACAAATGAAAGCCTGGATCCACTCAAAAAAAAAAAAAACTAGGGCTTGATTCCCCATTCTTTTAAACCATTGTTATTTTCAAAAACCAGCCGTTTTCCCTGGGATTCTGGAGGTTTTCTAGAAAGAAGGATCCCTAGAAAGAATGGGCAAGGTACCCCTAGAAAAGAACAAAAAAGGCGGGAACCAGTCGAAGCGACCTGACTGAGCTTGGCCAAGCGCTCGAGGATCATCTTCTGCCGCTTCTCGTCGAAAAGGCGCCAGGTCCTGGCCAAACGCGGCCGAAAGGTTTCCTCTGCACAAAGTTGGCTTGATTTGCTGGTTGGGTTTTTTCTATTGAAACCGTCGCCTTCTGAGGTCCACAAAAAGAAAATGAAGGAACGTGTCTCTTTCTTGGCATGTTCTCACTGGTGGACTTCCTATTGAAACCATCGCCTTCGAGGTTCCACGGGCAATGGACCGTCTCACCTAAGACCTGTTGGTGGCTCCGAAAGGCTCCCTAGCAGCCAGTGGAGGAAGGGAAGCCAAAGCAAAGCTTCGGTGTAAGGGAGCCCCATTTGGACCTTTTGTTTGGGGGTTTGTTGTTCAACCAGGCCAAAGGGAAATCTCTTATTTTGGGGGTCCGCAAAGAAAGACACACTCACATTGACATGCTGAAACATGCTGGCAAGTGCGGAGACTCCGTTTGAACGCATTTAAGGAATTTCAGACTGACATTGATTTGGATGTGTTGAGACATGTGCAACCGCTCAAACACAACTTCGCCAGCGGCGAGTCTTAGTCAAACAAGCCTAGAACAGAACCCAAACTAAGCCGAACTACGCCAAAGATGAACAAACTAAACCAAACTGAACCGAGCTGAGCTCAACTGCTGAACTGAACCCAACCAAGCTAAAGCGAGCTGACCCGAACTGAAACGGACAAAAGTAAACCGAGCTCAACTGAGCAAACTAAACCGAACTCAACTAATCTAAACCCAAGCTGAACTGAACGAACCGATCTGACATGAACTGGGCGAAGCCGAACTGAACCGAACCGAGCCCGACTGCGAAGCAAACCGAACCGAACTGAGCCGAACTGAACCGCAGAACTACCTCGTGCATTTGCCAGTCAGGTCCTGAAGGCGCCGTTGGCCATTCTGGCGGCCACCTAAGACAAAAACGTCGGCCGGCGTGCGTCTCAAGGCTCATCCCAAATAAAACGCTGATCGAGTTGGTGGAGCAAGCTTGCTCCCAAAGAAACCATCCAAGAGGAGTACCATCCAACGAAATGAAAGCTGACAGGTTGTTTGTTTTGTTCTCATGGTTTGCTTGCTGATTTCCTGGTGAGTTCTGTTGGTTGCTCGTTTGCTTGCTTGAATGCTTGCTTGCTTGCTTGCTTGCTTGCTTGCCTGCCTGCTTGCCTGCCTGCCTGCCTGCCTGCCTGCTTGCTTGCTTGCTTTGATTGCTTGTTGGTCCGTTTGTTTGGGTGGGTGGGTGGGTGGGTGGGTGGGTGGGTGGGTGGGTGGGCGGCGATTGCCCGCCTGGGGGTTCAGGGCGTCGACCTTGGGGATGATCTCCAGGGCGAAGTCATAGCCCGACCCGTCCGGCAGGTGGAACTGCGGCGACATGATGAAGACGCTCACCACGGAGCGCAAGCGGTTCGGGTTCTTCAGGGAGAACCTGGGCGCAACCTTGCCCCGCAACTTGGCACCTATTGGCGGGGGAATCTGCCAATGAACCCGATTCCCTTCAAAAAAAGGCCACCAGTTGGATGGAACTTTGCTTGGGCTTCCGATTTTCCTTTCCTGCCTCTCTCGCACCACAACTCACTCAACTCAACCTACGTCAAAATTCCCTCCAAACGAGCCGAAACGAGCCGAAACGAGTCGAGGCTGTCGAGGCTGTCGAGGCTGGCGAAAGGCTCGGGGTGCTCCATGAGCTTCTTCACCCGCGGCATCAAATCGTCCACGTCGGCCCGCGCCTGCGACGCGAACCACCTCGGGCTTTCGGCCGCGCGGGGCGTTCGCAGAAAAAAAAGAAGAAAGCGTGAAGCAAACTGAAGCAGAAAACAGCCGTAAACCAGCCAAGGTGGATTTGTTTGACCCGGCTCTCTGAGACTCTAAGACTCCAAGCCCTCTAACGCAATGGGGCACTTGTCGACGACGTTTGCATCGCCCTTGGCGTCTGCCAAGAACTTCTCTGCGGCGTCTTTGGCCTCACAAGTTGAGAGAGCACTCTGCCAATGACCTGCTTCGATTGGCAGGGAACGCAAAATGGAATGACCCCGAAATAAACCATCCCCTATGGTTTTCTTTAAGGGAATCCTGGGTCATTCCCTACTGGGCAGCAAAATGACTCCGCCAGCCGATTCGAGCCCGGCCTCTTTTGTGTCCGGCATGGAGCACAAGCAGCTGAACGCAGCCAGCTTGTCAGTCATCCCTTTGGCCTCGGACCGCACAGCCAGCTCCGCTTCTCCTAACTGGCCTCATTGTTTATCCATGATCAAAGTCACCCCCCAAGTGGTGGGCTGAAAGATGTTCAAGGGAAGCATCCCGATTCTCTGACTTTGATACGTGGGTTAAACGGGACGCAACCCACATCTTCTGACTTTGATAACCCCCAGAAACGGTCAAAACAATGACCCCGGTCCGATCGGCTCGCTTGCTGCTAAGGAGCGCTTTGGAAGTGCTCGCCGCACAAGGCAGCCGCTTCAGCATCCCCTTTCAAGGCAGCCACGACTTGGGAAGGGTCGCAGCCCCGTGAAGCAAACAGAGAGAGAGAGAGTGTGTGCCTGGATAGCGTGATAAACATACACTTTCCGGTAAAAAGGCAAAACAAAGCATGCGCAAGAAGTTCGAAAGCACAAACCAGTCTGTCCAGTAACCGCATATGTCTCATGTATGCAGTTGTTGAGACTTGCCTTCAGGGACGCTCCAAACGCAGGCGTTCTCAAAACCTTGAAGCATTTGGAATCAAGAAGCACAATGACGAGGTTCTCCATAGCATCACCCCTTGTTTGGGTTCGGTTCAAGCAAGTACAAGCTTTTGACCGAAGTCAGGGAACAGCCTTCAAGCTCTTACCCCCTGCATCTATCAACAGACTCTTTGGGAAAAAAAGAGGTGTAAGGCCTGCTGCGCATTGACCTGAAAACGGTTGTCAGGGAAGGTGGTTCTCGGCCTGATGTCGAAAGGTAGCCGAGGAGAACGTTGCGCAGCCGTCTCTTGCTGGCACTGGCACCATCAACGACCTGACAAGAGCATCGAGACATCAATGCTGCTCAAACATAAACCCTGCTCATAGCATAGGTGCAGAGCTCATTCCCTGTTTGAGGCGTTCCTCTGCTACGATCGCAAACCAGTTGTTTTAGGACCTTGCCATAGGCTGCACAAGACTGCCGAGAAGAAGCCCTTTCTCGAGTGGTCAGCATGAACCCACTGCACTCCTAAGCCCCGCGCATACGGCTCGTCATCTGCGGGCGTCAGCTCCTGGTATCTCGCCCGGAGCTCTTTGCCAAGCTCCGTGGCAATGACATTCCTCACGCGGTTCCGTGCCGCGTGAACCCGTGTCGGATCGATGGGGGGCTTGGCGATCTGCATGAGCGTGGACTCCGCTGGCAAGATCAGGGCATAGGCAATCCTCATTGACTTATGGGAGTAAACCCACCAGGGTGCTCAATTTCCTCAAATTAAGCTGTAACGGTAAACCTGGGCCATGACCCATGCAGGGCACCCCAAGTTTTAGTTCTTGTTTCCGTTTACCAGAGATTCATTCAGGGGGTTACCCTATTTTTCACCCACACCCACTTCTAGAACTTCACAGCTCGCTTCGCTATGTGGACTCAGATCTGCCCAGCCCCGCAGCTAGGGACATCAGCCAAGCTGCAAGGACAAGTCCTCCGTCTCACGGTCATTTACAGTTCTCCGCATGGCATCCATGAAGGCAGCATCAGGCTGGAAGGATTCAATGTCTCCCTCCAGTGCACCCAAGACTGCCTTGAGGCGTGACTCAACATATGCGGCACATGCAAACCATCGCTCACCTCGAGTTTCTGTCATTGCCAACATTTCTTCACTGGCCTATGGGACTTCAACGCCTCGCCTTGGTCCCGAGTCTCTGCATGGCTTCCCAGCGGTTGAATGAGTCGGTGTCGAAGGCGGCGAGCAGCGAGAGCTCCTCGTCGCTGTAGTCATACCTTTGAAACCAACAGCGCGGAAAACTTTCACACGGCGAAGCTTTGGCCTCTTGGACCTTCGCACCTTCGGACCTTCGACCTTTGGGGTAGGGGTCAAAATGAAACCAACGGGATATGGACCGCAGGTTTCAGCGCCCATGCCTCCATTTACCGGGGCGGTGACGCGCCATTTTTGGGGTGACCAAGCATTTGTCGACCGCCCACCGCCACATTTCGGGGGCCGCCTGTTCCCCCCCCCAAAAAAAAAAACAACGTCGAGGCGCTCCAGCTTCACCGGGGCGGAGAAGTCCCGCAGCAGCGAGGGCACGGGCTTCGGGGCCCCACTCGGGCCGGGCGTCACATTCAGCCTGAAGCTCGCCGAGGCCTCCGGGCCCAGTGCTCCCGTTCCAGCAACCTCCCTCAGTCACCACCTTCACCTCCAACCCCCCCCTCCCCCAACTCCACCCCAAAAAAAAAATCCCTTCCCTTCCCTTCCCCGAGCTCCAGCCAAAAAACAAATCCAAACATCCCCAAACGAGTCATGAGTCACCCCTCTGGGCCTTTCTCTCTCGCCCTCTCTCGCCCTCTCTCGCCCTCTCCCTCTCTCTGGACCTCCGTGAGCTCCAGGACGATGTCAGACAAGAGCTCCTTGCCGGAGCCGCGGACCAAAAGCCCCACCTGAGTCAGCCACGTGGTCGCCCTGCGGGTCTTCTTTGAGGATTCGGACCCCATGTTTGATGGCTTCTCCCCTGCGGGGTTCAGCTAAAACCACCAAAACGAAACAAAAATATCACCCTTGAAAAGAAGGACAGACCCTGAAACGGAATCGCATTGCCAGAGCAAGCCGCTCTGACCGGAATGTGCATGGGCAACTTCTCTGTCTGCCCCGGCGTATCAGGCACCGACTGCGAAAGCGTCAGAGTGTAATGACTGCCATCCCACGAGTCTGTGGCCGTAACCGTGGGGGTCCCAGCTTGCAGGTACCACCGCTCAAACTGCGACAAGTCCTGGCCACTGGCCTCCTGTCAACAAGGCCACGCAATGCAACGCTCAGGCGTGACAGACTATGAGATGTGGCCTTGGGTCTAACATGCCAATCCCTGCTTCAAACTCTTCACATGGGTGGTCCTTACTAAACCGCCAGCTAGGTTTTAGCCCTGTCCAGAAAATCAGGAGCAACGCATCTTGGGAAGCATTTTCACGTTTCCATCTCGTCATCAGTCTCTCCAGTCTCCCCGTCTCCTGCATCGCCTGCCGGAAGTCATCGCAGGTCACCGCCTTCCCGTCGTGGAGCTCGAAGTACCTGTCCATCCCCTTCCGGAAGCCGCTGCGCCCCAGCAGCGTCTCGTACATGCGGATCACCTCACGAAACGCGAGATAGTCGCGAGAGGGTCCCATGGGAAGGGAAAAAGTTCCGCGCGCGGGACGAGCAAGGCGCGCCCCTTCGGCTTGCGTGCGGGGAACCCAACCACAAAAGGGAGTTGGGGCGGTGCTGGAAAGTTTTACTTTTACAACTGGAAGCAAAAAGATATAGTATCCCCGAAGGGACACGGGCGCCCAGCCTTGAGACACACACAATCAAGGCTCCCAATCCCAGTCACCCCCCTCCTGTGCAAAAAACAAAAACAAAAACGGCACATCGTGATTTTGCATAGGGATTTCCTGCGTTGTTTTCGTTTAACAAAAACTTTGTTTAGCAATCTTCCGAAAAGGCTCCCTGCTTCCGTTCAGCAAACTTCCGAAACATAGATGAGGCAAAGGCCCGAATGACAGGGGATTTCTTGGAAACCTCAGAAGGAACCTTTATGCGTTCAAAAATAGGCAAAAAGTGAGGAAACCTGAAAGGAGTCTTCATCCGTTCCAAAAGAAGAAGCCAAACACCGAAAAAGAGCGCACCGAAGGCCTCTGCCCCCTTGTTGTAGACCGTGGCGGTGTAGAAGTTGTCGATGGCCGCATACTTCTCCGGGCGGATGGGGTGCGCCATGGGCGAGGCGTCCTCCGGGAACTGGGCCGCCCGCAGGATCCGCACGTCCTCGATGCGCTTCCGGGCTCTCGAGCCCATGTCCGCCGAGAACTCCTGGTCCCGGTACACCGTGAGCCCCTCCTGCGCGGCTCACAGAAGGCAAAAAAAAGACATGCCGGGGCAGTGGCCAGAAAAGCGCCAGAGTTGCCAGGGAAAAAAGGAAATTGGGCCGACTTCAAGCGCTCCTTCAGGGTGAGTTGGAACCAGTCTCGGCAGGTCACCCGATTGCCAGTCCTGGCATACACCACATGCGGCTTGTCATCCCCTCAATGCGCGCTTTGACCCCAGAGCGAAACACCTCCAGGCAACAAAAAAAGGGTCGAGATGTAATTTAGGACTTAATTGTGTTGTTTTTGAGATTGTTTTTGTTTTTTGTCTTGGCCTCTAAAATCGCGTTTTTGTAGCTTTTTCGATCGAACGGTACGACGTATTTTTTCGATCTCGTCAACATCGCCAGCTTGTCACACCAACATCCTCGGCATTACCAGCGGGTCGTGCACTAGCCTGTTGACATCCTCAGCATTATTTTCAGCACCTTTCACTTGTCACACCGACATCCTTAGCATCACCAGCAAGTTGTGGCAGGGCAGGCTTCAGTTTTTTTTGAGCTCGGGATTCGTTTTGCAACATCTTGCCTCATCTGGCTAAGCGCTTTTGGGCATTGGGTTTGTCTCCAAATACTGATGTCTATGCACCTTCCACTTTCCCGCAAGGCCGTCGGGTGCTACCGTATGCCAAGACCTTTGGCAGCCCGAGTAATGATTGAATTAGGGGCAAAAAAGTAGCGGGGGGTTCATGATGATCGAGGGAGTGATGATTGAATTAGGGGCAAAAAATCTAGACAGTAGCGGCGGGGGTTGGGGGGGGCGGCAGCCTCCCCAATGATGATCCAGGGAGTGATGATTGAATTAGGGGCAAAAATCTAGAAAGTAACGGGGGGGTGGCAGGTGCAAAAAATCTAAAAAGTAGTGGGGGGGTTCGGGGGGCAGCCCCCTCATGATGATCGGATGCGTTCGGGGCTCACGACCACTCGCGCGAAAAGCGTGTTGAATGGTTCGCAACACATCCCCAGCCTGCATTACTCCCCTTCGTTGCTCAGTTTCATGTTGAGCCGAGCAGCTACATCTGTTGCGCGAGGGGGCCGTGCGCGACATCGCTCAGGGCGAGGGTGGCGAGCAGGGCGGGGGAGTGATGATTGAATTAAGGGCAAAAATCGGCGGGTTGGGGGGGGGGGGGGGGGCAGCAGCCCCCCAACAGGGGCGTGATGATTGAATTAGGGGCCAAAAAATCTAGAAAGTAACGGGTGGGTTTGGGGGGGTGGCAGCCCCCCCATAATGATCGGGGGAGTGATGATTGAATTTGGTGCAAAAAGTCTACAAAGTAGCGGGGGGTTGGGGGGCAGCAGCCCCCCGCCCATGATGATCGCATTTTGATCTTTATAAACAAATCCAGAATGTAGCAGGAAGCCAAAAAGCCACCTGCAGGAGAGGAACTGGTAATGCAAAGGATGCGAAAGCCAAACCACAAAAGCCGCATAAACCCAATAAAAAGCCGCAAAAGCCACCTTCTAGAGAGGAAGCGCATAAAAAGCCGAAAAGCCACCCACCCTGAAAAACAACACAAAAAAATAGTCAAAAAAAAAGTGCCCTCCATAAAACAAAAGACCCAGGTCCAGTTGTGGAAGTACTCGTGGCCGATCACACCCTCGATTCGCTCGTAGTCATCGTCGGTGGCTGTGTCTTCCCTAGCCAAGGTCAGCGACGTGTTGAAAACGTTCAAGCTCTTGTTCTCCATGGCACCCATGTTGAAGTCCTGCGGCTCTGTCTCAAACTGGGAAAGTCGAGTGTGAAATGGAAACCAAAGGGTGTCCATCGAGCTGGAGGGGCCCCTGGTTTTGAGAAAACACCCATCTCGCTATCAGCTTTCCAAAAAACAACTCATGATCCCAGCATGCCTTGACAGCGACGATGTTGTAGATGTCGAGATCATACTCCAGGCCAAAGCGATCCTCGTCCCACTTCATGGCATTCTGCAGGGACCTGTGTGAACGACAGCTTCACATGCACCACATCACCAGGCACTGTGTGTGCTTCGTGTGTTCTGCGGACTTCAACAGGGGCCTCATGGCATGCCACAATTGGTCTTTGTCCTCCTCCGCCGCAAAGATCTCTAAATGAACCTCCCGCCCAGATTTGGTCACGTACCTAGCAAAGCTTGAGGCCACGCGCACAAGCTGCAAGTTGCTGCAGAGGCGCTTGTCCTTGATGGATGCCTCGAATGCAAGACCACAACAAAAGCAAACTTCAGCTGCGGTGCCGCCTTTTCAGACCGTTTAACAGGGCGCCTTTCAGACGTACGGCTCTCCAGCTCGCGACCACATAGCAAGGCCCCCCTCTGGCCCCTCCCTTGTCTCGCCCCTCTGGCCAAGGCGCAAGGTCACCAGCAACGATGGCGAAGAGGTATGAGGGCTTGTCGAAAGGATCGCTCCACACCGCAAAGTGGCGTCCTGCGAAACCAAAAAACCCGAAAGCGAAACCTTGCCAGCCGCCGGCAAAGCGGCCAGAGAGCGAAACCCGCTTTCCTCTTCTCGCTCGCATGAGCGATTCGCTCGCTCGCTCCTTCTTCCAGTTCCCCGGACTCCACCAGGTTGCCATTGCTCAGCCTCAAGCTCCACCCAGCCCATGCACCGAGGCTCGTACTGGCCGAGGCACAGGATGGGGCACCTCGCCTTGTCTGCTTCCAGTCGAACTGACGTAAACGCGGCCATGTTGTCAGGCCGGTCTACAAAGTAGGTGAAGCGTCGGAAGCCTCTCGGACAAGAAGCCCCAAAGAGCCCGGGAGCGCAACATGTCTAGCTCATGTGCACCCAGCCTTCTGCTTCCATCTGAGTGCAGTACATACTTCCACTGTAATACAAGCCTGACAGCCTCGGTGTGCAAGCGCCGCTGACCGTGGCGCGTAAGAGCTATGCCCAAATAACAAGAATATGCCTGTGCATTCTGGGGGCTGGGTATTCTTCTCTGGCTCGATCTCCACCTCTGTCTCTATCCAGTCACCTGGTGGCGCATTCAAAACATTGATGATGTCGGCACATGGCTTGCCTCATCTGAAGGGTGATTCCAATTCCCGGCCCGGCCTGACTTGAACGATCCTTTTTTGATGATCCTTGGCATGGTCTGTTGCCCCCAGTCACGGTGTGGGGATTGGAGGCAGCAAAAAGTATCCACTGTCGAGACTCAATTTATTCTTCTCGACAGTGTAGTCCTTTCCCTCCTCCAGAGCTTCCTCGCCCACCCTGACCTTTTTCAGCGTCAGGTCCTCGCCAACACATACATCTGCACGACATATCTCTTCCTTCTCCACAAGCCCCAAACGCCCAAAAATCGCTCTACTTGGTTGCTTCGCTTGGATTACCCTCCCACCAATGAACATGGAACCTGACAAGGGGGGGTCCTGCAAAAAAGCATTCTCCTCTTAAAAGAAGCCCCTGTCAGGTTCCAGGTTACTTGGTGGGAGGCGACCTTTTTCGCTTTTCCTTTGCGCTTTGTGTTTGTTTGTTTTCTTTTGTTTTTTTTTTTTTTTAAATAGCGCGGAAACGGAGCCCCGGAAGCCCGGAAGCCCGGAACCCCGGACCGGCGCTGGCCTCCCCGTCCAGCGGGAAATCGCCGCCGCCGCCCTCCTCCACCCGCATCTTGGTTAGCACCTGCCAGTCACCAACCCTCTCGGAGTCGCTGGGTTGCTGTTGACCCCCCGGCAAAAAGTTTAACTCTTTGGGGGTTTGGTGGAAAACCCAACTTGATTTCAACCGAAAAGTTAAAGTCTAAAAATCCCCCCCCCATCCGGTCACAGGGAGGTCTGAGGGGGGAAAATCTATTTGGCGGAGAAAAAAAGAAAAGACAAAAAACTTAGACAAGATCCAAACTGAGAAAAAGTTTGGTTGATACTAACCGACACAAAGAACAAACGTTACTGCATGGTCACTGCACGCTGCGGTTGTTGAATCCCGTCAAGGCAGAGCCTCAGTGCGGCCTTCGAAAATGCGCACGGTGAGTTCCACTTGCCGAATCCAATAATTCCTGCAAAACACACGCGAACACAAATCACCAGCAGAACCCGACGCAAACATGTCCAATGCATACAAGGCTCGGAATGGTATAGTCCTTCCGCAGAATCTCAGTGGGAGCCTCGCATGGTCCCATCACCCAAACAATTTTGGCAAACGGGCCAGCACATGAGTCAAACTCGCATCAAAGCGTGGCGCCTCTGGGGCCAGCGTCGCAGTGGCCAGCGTCACCACAGTGGAATGCTGCCGCCTTCGGCTGCGAAACCAATGCCGCGATTGCATCAATGCCGCAATTGCATCAAGGGAAACATCCCTCCAGTCGGTGGTTTGGATTGGTTTGGTGGTTAAGGAAGGGCTTCCCATCTCCCCTCTGCAAAAACCAATCCAAACCACCAACTAGTGGTAGGGTAAGATTCTGTTTTACAGGAAACAAAAAAGCTGGCTCGCCTTCACCCATCTTCCTTCCTTCCCGCGCCTTTCTGGCCGCCGCCAACGCCGGCTTGCCGCACCCACGGCCAAAGCCTTGCCCCAGGGCCACGTTCTTCGCGCGACATTTGGCGCGCGCAGCCAAGGACCCGGCCGCGCTCAGCTCGGCAGAAACCGCCCTGCCGCCTTCGCTCGCCCTTCCGCAAGGCCTGCGGCTCGGCAGCAAGCAAGTCGTGGTTTGGAGCTGTGGTCTGGGCAGTCCACAAAAGGGGTTTCAAATCCAAACTCAAACCAATCGAAACCACCAATGAAGGGTACTCTCACTCCCACTAGTGGAAGAGAGGGTATCAAATGAAACTCGCGGCAAGTGCAGCAACGAGTTTTGTGCAGAGGTCCTTTGCAGCTGTATCCGTGGCCCGTGGTAACCTCGCACAGCCTCACACAGGACACATGCACACTCCCAGAAATGCTATGCAAGCAAACATGTGTTCGTCGTTCATCTAGCATTGTGGCATCATGCACACACTCAGATAGTTTACAAACATAACAATTGGCTGTCAACTAGGCGATTGTGCAAGATCTTGCCCAGCGTGCCTGGGACCTCAACGCTGCCTTGCCAGGTCCCAGCGTTGTTCAAGCGACATCAAACACTTCTACAGCCTCGCGCACAGGCTGCATGGGGCCCTGCCAAGCAGACTGCATCGACCTGGGACACAAGCCATCCATCCCAACTCCTTCTGAAACCCGGCCCCTGACTTCAATACACGGCGCGCGGCAATGGCCATGCAAACATGTATGAGCCAAAGCTTGTCGCTGTCCAAGCAAATTGCACCAGGCACACTGCTGCATGCTAATTTGTGTCGCAGCAATGACATTGCGGTAATTGCAACTGCATGAATGGTGTATGTCTCTGTGAGTCATGTGCCAGTTGAACCGTCATTTTCTCAAGTCCGCTGACTGCTGGTGCCCATTATCATTGCAACGCCCATGTTTTACAAGAATCAAATCTCAACAAACACAAAACCAGCAAACAAATGAGTTTCATGTTCCAGCTGCCAGGCAGTTGATATCACACCTTGCAAGCAAACGGTCGATGGTCTAAACATGGCAAAGCAATTTGCTGCATCACCATTTCTCGACGCCGAGTTGCAAACACTGCGAGTGCCAACGCCCAACATGGAGAATTGCTGAAGCATTGCTGCCGGTTTGTATGGTTTGGAGGCTATGGGATGGCTTCCCGTTTACGCTCAAAGGCCAGGCGTCAAATCTCCAAACCATCCTCTTCTGGCTGATCAGCTTGTAAACCTGTAATGTCAAGAGAGCAAGTTGACGTCCCGTGGGACGCTGTCCACCAAGCTTCCAGCTGATTGTTCTCAACCACGTAGAAAGGATATACGGCCAAACCGATACAGCCAAACCAGTCCAAACTGTAAGGGGTATTGTCCAATAACCGCAAACACACACCCGATATCAGCGGCGCGAATGAACCTGTTTTTCTCTCACACAGATCGATCACAGGCGAACGTAGTTCATACAAGACCTTGAGCCCTACTTGTAACTTGAGCCAACTGTGGCGTCCAATGGAACACTTCAACCAACAAGAACATGGACCTCAGAACGGCTTCCCAATTTAGGCACGGGGCCAGGAGGGTTTTAACATCCTTTATTTGGGTCGCACTGTTCATCATGCGGTCCAAACATCACAATAAGTTCCAATGGCCACGGCTCCGATTACCAAACTGTGTCGAACATTTTTTCACTCACTACTGCAACGCCGTTCATTCGTTGTGAAACTCAGCCGGGTTCGATTAAATCAAAACGCGTATCCGCAGATCGCAACACATCTCTATACACAGATGCTTGAGGCATTATACCTCGCACCACAACGCAGCCATCGGAGATCCCAGCTGCCGCATTTGCGCATCGCGCAGCTGTCATCCATAGAAATGGGTTGGCCAAAGAAATCCAGGGCAGCGCATGATCATAAGCCATCCGTGTATCACCGGCAAAGAAAATGACGTGCAATATGTATGCAAAAATAGCCGTCCCAGATACCACGAATAATATAAGGAAATGAAATCATCCATAAGGTACTAGTGCCCATTCTACATAATCATGGTCCTTGGACGAACGAATCATACCATAACTTGTTCCATCGTAGTGAAATCAACATGTTGCTGGCAATGGGTGGGGTCTGGCCCGCACCATGCCGCAAAACGCAACTATGATCCACTCCAGCATCACACAGGTTGATCCACAATGGCCATCCTGTTAATACGTCGACGGAATTCCTCGTCCAAGTTGTGTTGGGCGTCTCGGGCATACTTCTTGTAGCGCTTATCCGCAAGCCAATGTCCCTTCCGGACGCACCAATCGAGCAGAGGTCCGTCGCACTTGCCCGGGTCAGTGGCCGCAATAATAGCGCTCACGTCAACCACGTATCCACGTCTACCAAGGTTTAGCCCGGTCCTTGCGAAAGATATGTACTTGGGAGAAGCACCTGTAAACGATGCCCCGCACTGGATGCATGCGTTCGCTGACCAATAGCTTCATTTTTTCCTTGGTGATGTCGAGGATCTTCGCTGCAATCCACAATTTATAGAAGATGCGCAGCCCGTTGCGTTTGATCGTCAAATAGCGAATGTGTTGGTCGCGCTCATCGGCCGTCCTAAACATCCTTGTTCGAACATTCTGGGACCGAGATATCGCATCCTCAGATGACGGCAACACAATACCATCACGATCAAGTTCAGTGGTGTTGGGATAGCGTGCCAAGTCGTTGTGGTACGGACACGCGGGAGCTCCTCTGAGTGCGGCGTCAATTGTCCAGCCTCGAACATCCCCCACAACCTTGACATTTGAACCCTGCCATGCCTTGAGCCTCCCGTGGCTCATCCATACAGATCGCCATCCGCTGGGAGTTGATGATGTCCCGCGCGGCCAAGTCATTGTCGCGGTAATCCCATTCATTGTCTTCCTCTTCGGACACATTGCCGGATGTACAATCCTGCGTGCCCTTCCAATAATCGCAACTTCCGGGCAACTCAAACAAAATAGCAGCATGTTTCGTCATGGCATGTCGTTTGATTTCCACGAAACGTCCAAACAACATCAAAAATTCCTTTTGTTTGGCCTTGATTTTCTCTGCGGTGTCAATTCCGCGAGTCTTGTTGAGGCGTGCCCATGATGATCCCCCCGTGCAAGGCCCGGCGAAGAACAACAAATCGGAAGATTTTGTGAGCACATGTCCAGCGATTCTCCCCCCGTACTCGCTCATCAAGTCATCGACCAAAGTAACGGTCACGACCTGTGGCCCTTTGTGCCGGGCTAGGGCTGCGAACCAGTTGCGAGGCTCGGAACATGCCAACAGCGCAATGGGCCGAGACAAGTCAACGCTATACAAGGTGACGATTGTGCAAGTTCTCATACCAGGAACACCACCATCATGGGCAACCAGCGCAAGTTCAATACCCGGCGCTAACTGTGGCTTGCGCTTCACCGCAATGCGATATGGAACAAAACAACGACGAGGGACAAATTGCTCATGACTGGTATGCAAACAACGCATAGGCAGCTTCAACCGGAGCAACGTATCCAGAGCAAGGTCATTTACACATTTTAATTCAACACGTTCGTCTGACAACTCTTCTACAAATGCAGCCAGCACAGATTGCAGATCAGCATCACCGGACCCAACATGAATTGGTCGTGGTCGCGGAGATCGCTCCCGCGCCGGTGCAGCAACCGGAACAGGATGAAATTGCCAAACAGCGCGTTCAACCCGCCCATCAATCCGTTCACACTGCAACCCAGGATCAACTCTGTCCTTGACCTTAAGCCATGACCCATTCCTCACAAACCAAGTGGAACGAAGCCACTTGCTCCCGAACGGTGTCTCGACCGCAAGTGGAGGTCTCACACGCATCAGCCTGTGCCCTTTGGCAACAACCACCGGATCTTGCCCTTCATGTTCATGCAATCCTTCTTTAGATGTCAGGCCGGAATGTGTGTGTACGCAAATGTGGGAACACCGTCAACCGTCCCCGAAGCTGTTGCAGGGCCCCTTTTATGGGATCACACGTGGACGCAAATGGAAACATGCGTGCTTGCAAATTGGTCTGCTTGACCCGAGTTCGCTGTCTGATCCGGATACCCTCAAGGCGCTCACACCTTGGTGTTGATGTCAGCCGCCGTGCGGTCAGTGACTTCATACATGGCTTCTCTCAAGGTGGCGCATTGTAGGGTTCCTCCCCGATCGCGCAACCCCGATCATAGCCTTGTTGTCGTCATAGAACACAAAGTTCGGTGACTTCTTGAGAATCCGCTGCAACAACTTGAGAGCAGACAAACCCATGGCTCTCATGGCAACATCGGCCGCGACAACTTCGGCCTCAGGAGTTGAGTGACTCACACAACCCTGTCTTTTTGAACTGCCTGCCAACGGAAACCGATGAATTGGGCCCTTGTAAATTCCTGCCGATTCAACACAACTGCAAAATCGGCGTCAGCCAGGCGCACATTGTCCAGAGATCTCCAACCCATCCATGCGCCAATGGTGTAAACCCATCATCGGAGTCAGCCCGCTTGTGCACATTCCAGAAAATCTTCTCCATCTGCAATACTTCGACACCCTGCCATACACCTCTCATACACCTTTCTCTCACGGTGCTCCAACCATTTAAGAAATCCAATACACATCAGAAATCCACACACGGCATATAGTGTGAAATACTGTAAAACACATTCAATACCTATTGCAAATGTACATACACAATCACGCTGTCTCCATGTTCCAAGCTTCCTGCCATTGCTTTTCCTGACAGCTCCAATAATAACGCGTACATCAGCTTCTCCTTCATATTGCATCCAACAACTGTCGCACGCTCTCTCTCTCAAGTCTTCTCACACTTGATTCACTCTGCACAATCACTCTGAACACATCTTTCATTGCTCTTCGCCTCTGAAGAATACTCCGAATCTCCTCCAACTCATCTGCGCCATATGGAATCTCATTTCCTTGCCTAATACCAATCTTTCATCCTGCTGTGGGTACTGGCCTTAAAACGCACTTGTTGTCAGCTACTGCCTTCTGAAGCCACAGTGCACGGGTTGACAAGTGTCTGGTCTTCGAAACTCCAAGCCTCTTGCCCACCTGTCTTGCCGAAGAACTATCTGTCCTCACCTCCAGCTTCAGCTTCATGTCCAAAAGATACTGCATCAGATCATGAAGTAGCAGTCCTTCAGACAAGCCTGACGTCATAGCATAATACTCACTCTCACATGACAAAATACAACACATAAGCATACATCAAACCTCCCGCAGAAAATCATGACTGAACTCATTGACTGTCTGTTCTCCTTGTCGCTCGCCCAATCTGCATCTGTGAAAATCTGCATACTTGCACCTTCAGCTGGTTCGCCACCATTTGCCAAAACTGAACTTGAACACGGCTTGTAGGGTAAAAGTAAACCCACATCCTGTACAGTTGTCAGAAATCCCACAAAATGCAGCGCTGCCTTTACCATCTTGACAGTCGGCTTCGACATCTTCTACACCAATCTATTGATGACCCACTGACAAAACGGCATTTCAGGGTAAATATACAAAAGCTTTCCCACAATGCTTCTGTACGCCTTCTGCTTTTCCCCTGAAACTTCCTCCGAATTGTCCTTCTCTAGAATGTCTCCCTGCGCTGGCGTCTTCCT